CACAAAGCAAAGAAAGGAAGGGAAGGGCCGATGAGGGGAAGGAACCAGCTTAAAGAATGTAATGTAAAGTTATGACAAGAGCCACAGTTCTTCACTAGGTTAGAAGATGAAAGATTTATACCAGTGAACATTTGCTCTGACCACCCTGAGAAATGCCCAGTTTGAGCCAATGACAGCACTTCATGGTGGGAGAAAACAACTCCTGAGAAAAATCACGTGAGAGAAGTGCTTTGACCAAAACACAGTGGAAGTGTTGGTCCAAACAGGGGACGTCCCGTCCTACTGTCTCTGTGAGACACAAGATCTGTGACGAGGTCACAGAGACATCCTGCAGCAGTTCCCAGCCAACAGCAACGGCAGCACCTCTTTCTCTACTCTTTGATATTGTTGAAGAGTTCCTGTCTCCAGACTGTTGATGTTATACACATGCAAAGCTGCTGCTGATGCCTCAGAACTGAGGTTTGCAGCAAAATCAAGAGATCCAGACAGAGGCGTTGATCCATCACTATAATGTAATGCTGTTGATGTCTGCTTAAACACGCTGCTGCGGCAGGTCCAGTCCGTGTCTCTGAACGGCACAGCAGAGCTTATTCAACAAGTCACTAAACAGTGGTTTCATTTACTATTGTTATTATGAAGGTTAGGTTTGAACAGCACATCGAATTCTGTCTTCTGTCCTAAATTAAGATTTTCTGGAAGATGCAGACACAGGCATTGGCAAACAGAACAGGACGGTGAAAATGAGGCTGATGGGAAATCAGAGCCAAGCACACATGATTATTCTATCGCCCGACATCATGCAATCAACTTCACAATGTCAGATTAGTGTAAAAAAGACCTTTCCCAGTGCAGACACAGTAGATTTGCTTTTTCTGGAAGACGCCAGGCGTTGGCAAAGCGAAGAGGACTGTGGGAAATCCGACTGTAGGGCTGTTCCAGTGGAAGATCCCGACTCGGAAAGAACAAGCAGCAGCACTCCTGTTCTCCTACACATAAATGTAACAGGGCTACAGTGACTCATCAGGTGAGTTGGTTACAAAAAGAAAAGCTTTTGCTTTGATGCTTCGTTTGAAGAAACTCTACAGAGCTCACCACGTTAGCGCAACATTTGTGACTAAAAAGCGTGCGACATTAAAGCCAAGCAGACTCCAGTTTGCAACAGACACCAACAACAACAGAGCAGATGCTGCCCTAGCTTAACAAGGAGTCTGTCTGCACACTAACGCAAAAGGCAAAGAGGCGGAGTCATTACCGTGAGCCCACGTGTAGCTCCTCCCATCCACCATCGATAGTTTCACTCAACAAAAAATCTCCATTAAACTGTGGGCAGCTGTGGCTACACCTGCAGCTGCCTCCACCCGTGTGAATGTGAGAGTGAATGAATAGTGGAATAGTACAGCGCTGTATAAATGCAACCCATTATTATTATTATTATTATTTTTGCATTTAAGACAATATTTTCTTCACAAACTGATAAAATCTCACATAAACACCATGAGAGGGCAGTTAGTGTACGCACTGAAAGTACTAAAACCACCGAGCCGCTCATTTTACAATCCTCTGTTGTTGCTCTTTTGAACATTACTGTTGGTCTTTAATGAGACAGAAGCTCTTCTTATTAATGGATTAATGAAATATACTGATTATTGCAGTGCTTTTGCACTGGTTCAGGGTTATTACAGCAGAGCAAAGCAATGGGCGCTCAGCAGAGTGTTGGGACTCCTCCAGGTGACGACCTCCTGAAGCTGGTTGTACAAAGCTGCAGACAGCATGAAGTCATAGCTCTGAGACAGTCACTGCTGCTCCTCTGATGACAGTCAATCCTTGAAAGAGTCATAGCTGTTCACTGCTAAGCTACAGTGTGTAGTGTGAGTCTGTGAGACGTAGCATCAGCAAGTCATGGATTGAAAGGCCTTTACGATCAATAACATAAAGCTGTGTGGAATAAAAGCTGCGCTTACTAAAAGTCTCCTAGAGATCCTTTTCCTTTCTTCCCCTTGTGCCGTTCTCCTCGTCTTCACTCTTGGTAAATGTCTTCATTCACAGACAGCAGTGGCTCTTCTCTGCCTCACGGGGTTTCTTGCTCTTCTTCTTCGTCGCTGTGTGATTGCCGTCTTTTCTGAAACTCAAAGGCTCCACAGTAGCTCCGCTCAGCGGGGGCTCTGGCACTTCAGCAGGCCGAGGATAACGGGAGGCTTTTGTTACTGACTGCTCCGACGAATCAACACGGGTGCAGAGTGGAATAGTGTGAATGTAAACTCCACTCTGTTCACTCAGTCTTTGCCACTTCATGACCTGTTTTCTTCCACTGACTGGCACACAAAGTCAAAGTGTTCCCAGTATACCCAGCATGTTGTTACCTGTGGTCGGGGGTGTCCAGTCACCAAACACTGCAGCTCTAGAGTCTCTCCCTCTTTGATAGTGTACACCCTCTCACTGTAGCGCTCCTCCTCCACATTACAGGCCTGACCAGAGTGCACGATTCGCACTGTAGGGGGCGCTGTGAACAACAACACAAATACAAAAGGTTAATATACAAGAGTCGTCTCTGAAAACACATCTGCATGTGTGTGTGTGTGTGAGATGTTTGGATCCATCCATCTGAGCTCATGTGACCTACTGCCTCCTCCTGTCATTATCACTCTGTCCACATGATGGCACTGCAGCAACCAAATATGCTGCTGCACAAGCCAGCTACACACACTTGTTCATGGACTGCGTATGAGGTGTGTGGTTGGTGGAGCCAGACAAGCTGGTCCGAGTATTTCAGAAACTAAATCTACTGGATTCCCAAAAAGAGAAAACATCCACCGCTCTGGGCAGAAGTGTCGGAACGAGACAGAAGGAGAGCACAGCTGGAGGAAATCAGAACTGACAGACAGAGAAGCAAAGCAGGATTTACTCAGATGAGACACAGACCTTCAAAGTAAAACAGGAAGTATAACACTGAGACGCGGACTAGACACGGTGGAGACAGAGCAGCTAAGAAACACAGAGACATAAACCAGAGAACTCTATAAGAACCAAAAGCCTAGAGATGATAAGTAACACACAGAGGGAAATACCAGGCACATAACACACAAACTAGACTCAAGGGAGTAACTAAAGACCAACAATGAGAACATAACTCACAATACAAAGTGACAAAAAGCACAGGAAACTCAAAACACAAATATTGCTGCTGACCACGCCCATCCATTTATGACCAAAGTGTTCCCACGTAGCACGACAACGTGTCAGAATCGTCTTAGGCTAGTGGAACAGTAGATCATGGATGTGCTGAACAACACACATGATACTTTTCATGTGAGTGTGGACCAACATGTCTGTGCAGTGATGTCGCAGTCAAAGCACGACTTCCATACTGCAGCAGCAGGTGAGGGTAGAAATGATACCGAGGATAAACTATGGACACAAAGTTTCAATATTTATTTTAAACATTTAAATGCTACGGGAATATCATCACGATTTATTTCATAACTTGTGCCAACATGTGCATCAGTCTGAATGAGTCTTTATCAGTGGTTCCTATAGAGCAGGAAGGTTGCTCAGCACAAATAGTTAACTGGGGATTTTTATAACATGTAGACAACAATGGATGCAATTTCTGACAATTTATCACAATTAACTGCCAGAAACAGACTGCATGTAACTGCCTCTTAATTCAATAGCAGCTTTTGTCTCATGACAACGTTTATGGTAAACTTTAGTCCCACTTTGCAGCACAAAATATCTCTGAATAAAGATATTGAAAGTTCAACTTAAGGTTTAACTTAAGGTTTAAGGTTTAAACTTTGGTATTTGAATAATCGAGTTTTTTCCTCCTGTACAACTTTAACCATGAAGATTACAGATTTGCATTTGCACACAGGACCAGCAGTCCATGCACATTGTGCACTTGTGCAGAGCTCTCCAGGTCAAGTCTCATTTTTAAAAGGTAAAAACAAAGCAATTAAAGGAAAGTAGAGATCAAGCAAAGAGTGGAGCAATCTGCTAGTATTTACAATATAAAAAAGATGTATTTACATATATACAAAAACACTGGACAGGGTGGTGATACAAGTACTTACTGGTGGGAGTTCAAATAGTATATTATATGTAAATAGTGTAATAGTATTGCACACAGTGAAGGAGAGCTGTTGTGCTCAGTCCCAGCTCCATACGTATGATGGACTTCACAGTTCATGATTCACAGATATAAAAGTCCTTATCTTATACAGGGGCTGCCCCTCAATGCATCCCCTGTCTAACAAACGCCTTTGTAACTCCTCCCCACTGACTTCTTTCCTCTGATTGGCTGCCTCATTATCACAAGGTTCAAAGAAGAGGTGAGAGCCACCTGTGCTCACAGGCAGATGACCCTTTCAGGAAGAATTTCTGTAAATGGCATCATACAGATCCAAGAGCAGAAAAAATGGCTGAAACAGAGTTTTTACAACAAGGTGGATCCTGAGCTTTAGCTCGTTCACCCACGTAGCAGACAGGTCTCTCAAGCTGGCACTTCTGACTGACCGGTGTCATGGCAGAGTGTCTGTCAACCAGATGCAGGTCTGGCAATGATGGCACTGTTTGTGTTGCTATTTTCCTGTTTTAGTTAGAAGACCCAAATGCCATGTTGCAATGCTATACTGCTATGGTAGCCAACGTTTCAAATGCAGGTTTGAAAGGTTTGTGACTGTACACTATATCCAAAATCTAGTGAGGATTCACTCATGTTTACCACTGGGTGGCTGTAGCTCAGGAGGTAGAGCGGGTCACCTCAGAGGGTTAGTGGTTCGATCCCTGGCCCCTCCAGTCTGCATGTCAGGAGTGTGAATATGTATGAATGTAGTTAAGAAGCACTCAGTTTAGAGAAAATGTGGCATGTTATATAGAGCACTTTGAGTAATCTGGGAGACTAAAAAAATGCTGTTCACTGTGTGAACAGAGATTCGTCATGTGACCTTTGCACGATTGTGTTCCCGCACATGATGTTATTACATGGCTTGATTAGGTACACATCAGGCTGACATCTGGGGCCAGAGCTGGCCCATGTGTGGGCCACCTCTGGCAAACCTGATCTGGGCGACCAAACAGCTTTTTATGTGAAGACGAACTTAAACTCTCACTCATCCTTTATATAGATGACTTTGAGATATGCAACCCTCTGGGAACATCCCGCAAGAAGCATAAAGTCACAGCTGTGTATTGGGTGTTTGCAGACATACCTGCCACATTGAGATCTACACTGACTTCCATTTACTTAACCATTTTATGCAAGGCAAATGATGTCAACCAGTTTGGCTATTCAGAAGTTTTGGACCCACTGCTCAAAGCTTTGAAGTCCTTTGAAGATAATGGTATTTTTGTTTCAAGTCTGGGCAAAGTGGTCAAGGGCACTGCACTTGCTGTAGTCGCTGACAATCTTGGCGCTCACTCAATAGGCGGGTTTGTTGAAAGCTTTTCAGCTTCACATTTCTGTCGCTTTTGCATTGGCGAAAGGTCACAGATCCAGGAGCATGAAGTAGGAGAAGGACTGTTTCCTCTACGGACTAAGTCCAACTATGCCATCCATGTCAAAGCAGCACTGTCTGATCCTGCAGAAGCTCACCACTGTGTCCAATCTCAGACAGACTCAGTCACTTTCATGCTACATCAGGTTATCCCCCAGATGCTTTGCATGATTTGCTTGAAGGGATTGTACCTGTTGAAATTTCACTCTGTCTTGATGTGTTAATCAGGAAGAAATACATATCTCGTGAGCAGCTCAACCGTTCCATCCGTTGCTTTCCTTACAAATGGAGTGACAAAACAAACTGTCCACAACCCATTGCCCCAAATTTCACAGCGCGAAAAAGTGTAGGAGGTAATGCACACGAAAACTGGTGTTTGTTGAGAATGATACCACTCATGATTGGTGACAAAGTACCAGAAGATGAGCCTGCTTGGGAGGTTTTGATGACCCTGAAAGATGTTGCTGAGCTTGTCATGGCTCCTCTCCACACAGATCACACAATAGGATACATACAAAGTAAGATCTCAGAACACCGTTACAGATATTTAGAAGTGTTCCCAGAGGAGAAACTGAGACCAAGACATCACTTTCTCGAGCACTATCCTTTGCTTACAACTGTTTACGGGCCACTTGTACATTTCTGGACTATGCGATTTGAAGCCAAACATCGATTCTTTAAAAGGATTGTGAGGCAGACTGGGTGTAGAAACATCCTCATGACAATGGTGAGAAAACACCAATCGATGATTGCGTATCATACCCACGATTACAACCACCAAAGGCCAGCACTGTCAGTGTCCCAGAAGACTCCAGTGGCAGTCGATGTTCCAAAAGACAGCATTAAGGAGTCCCTTGCAAGGAAGTTCTCCAGGGAAGACTTTGTGAACATGACAAATAAAGCAACCATTTTAGGCACAGACTATAATATTGGCATGATGCTGCCGTTTGGCTCAACAGGAGGCCTACCTGACTTTGCAGAAATCCATCAAATAGTCATTGTGCACAGAACTCCTGTTTTTGTTCTGAAGTTGCTTAGAGGCTGTGAACACCTGAGGAGTTTCAAAGTAGAGCCCACAGGAGAGACAGAAATCCTTAAACATTCTGAACTGAAAGAAACATGGCTGCATACAATACAGCAGATGGCCGTATGGTGTCCCTTAAACACTTCGTTTGCACATCAGAGTAAGTGTAATGGGTTGATTATTTCTGTTATATCAAATGTTTGTGCACTTATTGAAATTATTGAAAAAATATATTATTTTACCAACAACTATATGGGCGGGCGTCCTGTCTTATTTGTTTATTGTAATGTTTATTTAACAGGAACAATACATATAACATTGAAAAAGAAAATGGAAACGTGATGCATATTTAACCCTCCTCTATTCTATTGCCCTTATCTCCCAATCAAAAATTATTTATTCCAAATTCTACTGAACTAAATCTCTGCTTTTATTTCTCTGGCAGAAGATAATGAAGAAAATATATGCATGTAAGCTTATCAACTATTAATAACCTGTCTCAGTTTCTTTTCTTTCTCTGTCTCTACAGCTGAGGAAACACAAACCAAACAACAATGGCAGTCCAGTTAAGAGTCGTTTTAGAAGAACACAGCATTCATAAGTTGACACTTCCAACAGGAAGTCCTAATACAGTGGATGGGGATACACGGGGAATTTGGACTGCTATACCAAGACAAAGACTTTGACAATCAGTTTTTCAGTGTCATCTCGACTGCTGACTTGTATGACAAGGCCACTGTTAAAGTGATCCTTAAAGAGCCAGTAATCACCCTTGACTTACAACCAGCATGTGAATCAGGATCATCATCTGCATTGACCTCTTCGACTTCAGTGAGCACCCATCCTGCAAGTACTACTGAAACGGACATCTGCCCTGCCAATCATGATGCACCCTCACAGGCGTCCGACTGCGCATCGTCAAGTTCCAGTGACACCATCATTCTCCCTGATTCATGTCGCCCTGCTGCGTGGCCAGTGCCATTT